GTTTGTACATTTCTGCTGCAAAAATAGATGTTTTAGACATTTACGTTTCAGCAAAAATGTACTTTTCTCATTGGTTTTTGATTTACCAAATAGAAAGTTCTAAAACGAAACATCATTGCTACTATGACTTTTCATCAAAAAATTGTAGTGATAACTTATTTAATATAATTTTTTTTTTGTAATTTGACGCAAAGATCGTAATTTTTCTTTTTAAATGCTTAAGTATTCCAATATGCTACCAATTAAACATGGGACAATTTCAAAATAATGCTTAATAACAAAGTTGAAATTTGAATTTCAACTSYMATTCAATCTTCTAGAAATTATCGAAAAAAAAATTTCAATTTTTTTCTCGTACTGTCCAAGTGATCCCCTATTACCCCTTAAAGGGAATCACGCCAATTTCGAATCAACCTGTATAATCCGCTATTAGAAGGGCTACCATATCAGTTATGAACTTTTATTTGGCCCATATGAAAAACAAAAGTTGATGATGGTTTCAAAGAATTCGTTGTAATATATTTTCATAGACACCTTTTTGTAGCTCTCGAAACGGTGCCTTGAGAAGGTATTTTTTGTTTTTTTATAAGATTTGAAGTAACTTCAAAAATGAATAAAAATAAAAAACCACTTTTTCTATCTCAGTTAAAATAAATACTTCTTTTTTGAAAATACCATGTACAGTTGATATAGTACAGTACACAAACTTGTTTTAATTTGACAATTTAATTAATCTCTATAAATCTTGCTCTTCGATTTTCCAAATCTCTCAGCTACTGTTTTAGTTGACCGTCCTTCCTCGATTAATGTAGTTTTTCGAGTTTTTTCAAATAGTTTTGACTGTCATTTTGATAATAGGAAAATGTATTTTTCAGTAATTAATTTAACCTATTTCTTATCTCCTACGGTTTCGAAGATACCCATACAATGCGTCGTTATGTTGAACACCCTGTATAAATGGCCAATCAATATATAGTTGAGTCCGGATATAACAAAGTTGAAAAATGAACTAAAACTGGTTCATTAAATCCGGAGTTCGCTATAAGCGAATAATAATACAAAAACATGTGGTGTATTTTATTTCGTTATTTTTACATAGAGGAGTAGAAGTTAGTAGGTATGACTAAAAAGAACACAAAAAGATAAACAAAATTCAATTTCAAATTTACTTCATAAAGTCTGTAATTTTTGTTTGTACATTTCTGCTGCAAAAATAGATGTTATTTATGTAGTTTTCAAGATCACAAAAGGACTCCCAGATATGATTAGGAACTTGACGTGATTGTAGAAAATTCCGAGTTTCTGACACTTTTTTTGTCATTTCAGAAATGGTTGGAACAGCATTAGTGTCTACAGTAGAATACGTTTCATCTAAATCGTCATCTTTCTCATTATCGCTTAAAGCTGTAGATGAGGTTACGGAGTCTATAATTTGCTCATCGGTCAACATTTCTCTTGTAAGAATGCCATTATCAATTAACAACATTGGGACATCTTCGTCTGTGTCATACTCGTAGTCAGAGTCTTTATACTTTTCTAACCATTCGTTAAGTGGACTTTCATCGTCTGCAAACTCTTTGTTTTTGATTTTACTCCCCATTTCACTAGCATTTTCTTGCAAAACACTGCCACTTATGGGAACGTCTTCTTGGCTTTTTTGAGTAAA